CTACCAAGTCACGCGTTCATGTAAGACTGACGGTGCCACTGTTCCGCAAGTACCGTACTGCTAAGTAAGCATCGAGTAACATATTCCAGGGAGAGCACAATTTCGCAAACGATTAGGACAAAGTCAACGTGGCATAACAAATGCCAGAAGATCAGATCGAACGAGAGACACCTTTTGTCCCAGTTAAAGCACACCTCGGTGCGCCAACATTCATCTCAAGCGACATCGACACAAACGAAGTATTACAAGCACAACGCAAAAACAGAAGTGCTAAAACGCACTCACCACTCGCGAACCTGAACCTGGACAACTCTCGCTACACCATTTGCGACATCGATGACGACGACCTGGTCGAAGTGACCAACACCGCTGATTCCAACCTCACCGGGTTACGCATACTTGGACGCGCCGTGGCCATTTACAGTAACCAGCAGCTCGCTGAGCCCACAACAATTCGCCAGTCCCTATATTGACCCGACGCAGAGAAATGGAGAGCGGCCATGGCCGCCGAAGTAGCTGCATTCAAACGGCGTTGCACATGGAAGCTAGTACCACGATTATCAGCAAAGGGGAGGAAAATTCTCAACTGCAAATGAGTGTTTCGCACAAAATTCTCAATACGCGCTGGGTCGTGCGCAGCTTTGAGCAAACTCGCTTTGTCAACTATGATCAGACCTTCACACCTTTGGGCGGCACATTCTGCGCTCATCTTAATATGTATCTGTTATAGTCACAGTAGGCTTCAATGTGCCTAAAACGAAAGATACAGTGCACAGTCGGATTTCTGCACAGCCGCTTTAAACGTTTATAGCGTTCTGGTCACGGCGTCAAATGACTTAATTCAAATTGGGTCTGGAGCGTCTTAGTGTTGCCTACAACAGGCAATTTAGATCGCACGATTTCATTAAGAATTGACATCACAACCTAGCTTTGAATGAACGGCACTATGGCAGCTTCTATTTCTTAAAACACAAACTAGGAAGAGTTACGAGTTGGGAGTGACTCCCAGCTCCTACAAACTCCAAGAGCCAAGGTACAGTGATGTGGAACAGTGACACACTGGTGGTGTTCTCTAGGCACTGGCGGAGAGGGAGCGAGGGGAAATAGGAATCTTCCCCTCTCTGCGTTTTTTGGTTAAACACGTTGGTCAGCCTGTAAAACCGTGCCGAGCCACCTAATTGCCCTCCGAACCAAAACGAAGGTAAATGCCAACAGAACGCTCATTTACCCTCAGGGATGTCGACCCCTTGGAAGCTGCACATTTACCCTCCCCATCTTCCTCCTCAGGCAAATTTTGCCTCTCTCGCCTTGCCTTCCGGCAACCACTCTTCACGGGGAAGTGGGACAGCGAAGGAAGAGAGGAGCTGGAGGTGGGAACACCGACTTTTTACCCGTGAAACTAAACACGGCTTGAATGCACGCCCCACACACACGCGCAAGAACCAGGAAAAACATTTCGCGTGCAAACCCTAGTGAGGGGTTTGTTCCTGGTGAGGTGTTTGTTTCGAGAAGGAGTAACCCTAGTTTTTGTTTGTCACCATTTTTTCATGTTCGCGCCAAATGCGATACCCCCGATCCTGGACCAGGAAAATGTACCCACAGGTTCTTCATTTACCGTCGGAGCCTTCCCCCCCTCGCGCCCGAAATTTCCCATCTTTGGTTGTAGCGGGAGGTGGAGAAAACGAGCCCCGAAACACCCTCGGAACCATCATCATTTACATTCGCCCCACCTCCTTCCCCTCCCGCAGGAGTCACCAGAACACCACCACTGTCCCCAACCACGAAGGGTGTCAGAATCCCAACCACTAGACCATTGGGATAAAAGGGCTTGTTTCAGTAGCGGCTCAGTGCGCCCATAACCCCCCAGGCGAACGCGCCTGTAACCCTCTCCAGGATCAATCGGGCATCCACAGTGCAGATCTACTGACACCCCCCCACACTGGCAGGCCCAGGACTAAGCACAGCGGCAACGGCCTACATGTGCATACACCGGGAATCGAACCCGAGACTGCTCTGATACCATGTCAGAATCCCAACCACTAGACCATTGGGATAAAAGGGCTTGTTTCAGTAGCGGGTCAGTGCGCCCATAACCCCCCAGGCGAACGCGCCTGTAACCCTCTCCAGGATCAATCGGGCATCCACAGTGCAGAACTACTGACAAAGGGTCTCGAAACTACCCTTCATAAGGGCCTACACCAAGTGAGATATTGCACTACACAAAGTAATGTAACTATTCTCAATATCTTGAGGTGTACCCTTTTCGAGGGCTTCGCCATTACTTGAACCTTGAGACCAAGGCTCTGGCTCTTCATCATAAACTCATCCTTGGGTTCTTAATGGGTCTGCTGCACACACCTGCGACACGCCGAACGTTCCACACACAACAAAACCGAAACCGCGCGACACACACAAATGACGAAATAGAAACGTGACTAGCGATGACTCGCTATTGACTTGACACATACATTCGACATCATGACTGTTGATTTGACTCGCTATTTCATGCTTATAATAGTGTGTGAGTGTTGATTCACAAACTATTATAAGCATGATATATATATTGTCCCATGCCCTCATACCATTCCATGCACACACGCATGTACGCACTCGAACAACAAGCCGAGTGCAAACCGTAGGGTTGCACCAACAAACTTCCCCTCAAATTGTTGGCCTTAGAATCTGCTCCTCTCAGTTCAAAGCCATCCCAGCCAACTTGCAACACTTCCAATGCTGCTGCTCCACCAGCCTCTTGGTCATCATATCAGCTGGCTGCCCCGTCGTCTTCACGTAACGCAACTCAACTTTACCCGCGGCCACCATGCTCCTCGTCCAATGCCACTTCACCATCATGTGCTTCGTGAGGCCATGCAACACGGGGTTCTTAGCAAGAGCAATGGCACCCTGGCTGTCACAGTAGAGTGGGGTAGGTCCTTTCTGCTCCTCCCCCAATTCAGCCAACAAACGCCGCTCCCACACAATCTTCCGTACGGCACGGAAGAATGCCATGCACTCGGACTCCACCGAGCTCAATGCTTGATCAACCTGCTTCTTGCTCTCCCAAGCAGTTGGGCTTCCACCAACACAACAAATGAACCCTCCAACACTTGTCATGTCCTCTGGTTCCGATGCATATGAAGCATCCGAGTAGGCGGTGAGGAACAAACGCCCGGGTTTTACACCATCCGCGCCCTTTTGGCGCCTTTGCGCCGCTGCCGAGTATTGCAGCCCAACGGTCGGTGTTTGGCCAAGATACTTGGCCACCCTCATTCCAGCTGCTACCTGCTCCTCATTAGGGCATTGAACAACCCTTGCCAGCTGCACGGTAGCAAATGCAACATCCGGTCGTGTGCTGACCACCGCATACATGAGGCTGCCCACCAACGAGTCAAATTGGCGCCTCTCCTCTTCGCCAACACTCTCCTCCTCTGGTTCCTTCACACAATTGAACCCAGAAGGAAAGGGAGTAGCTTCATGGCCTTCACTCTGCCCAAAGTTGGAAGCCAAGGCCTCCAGTTACTTGCGTTGGTGCACCCGCATGCACCACATCTCCACATTGCGTTCAATGTGAAGCCCGGGGTAGAAGTTGACGTCGCCAAGTGCCTTGCACTTGAACTTGTCTTGAAGCTTCAGCATCACCTCCTTCACAAGGTCAGAGGCGGGTGATAAGATGAGGATGTCATCCACATAAACCACCATGAAGCTCCTCTGCTCCCCCTCGCCAAGCATGAACAAGGAGTGGTCGGCCGTTGAGGGAGTGAAGCCAATCTCCTCCAACACTTAGCGCAGCTTCAAGTACCACTGCCTAGGGGCCTGCTTCAGCCCATAAAGGGCCTTCTTCAGCTTCCACACTCTGTCAATACCATCATCATACCCCTCTAATTGTGCCATGAAGATCTCCTCCTCTAGGACGCCGTTGAGGAATGCCGTTGTGATGTCCAGCTGTTTCACCACCCAACCTTTGATGGCTGCTCCTGCTAGTAGGGTCCGCAGCGTCGTCGGCTTCACCACAGGAGCAAACAACTCCTTGAAGTCCACCTTCTCCTTCTGCTGGTACCCCTTCGCCACAAGCCTAAAATTGTAGCGTTCGATCTTGCCATCGACATCGGACTTGATCTTTAAGAGCCACTTGGTTGTTATCGCCTTACGTCCCTCCGGTAGCTCCACCAATTCAAACGTGTCATTCTCCTCAATGTTCTTCAGCTCACTCTCCATTGCCTTCTTCCACTCCTCAGCATCACTACTCTCCAAGGCCTCCTTGAGAGTTGCTAATTCCCCCGGCATCTCCACCGGAGAGAAGAACACGAACGCACTTTCCTCGTAGTCACTTTCCTCGTCATCTCCGACCATCATTGCCGCTCCTGCCAGGGCTGTCTTGCCCTGCTTTCCCGGTGCATCATACGTCAGCCTATTAGGGGCTTGAACTCTCCTCTTGACCCTTCCTTCCTCTGCAGCTGCAAGGACTTCAAGGCCTTGGCGTTGCTGCCGTGTGACGCGGGTCCGTGGAGCACTCGTAGTGCGAGAGGGAAGTGTGGGTACACGCTTGCTCACTTTCTGCAGCTCCTCCTCTTCTTCCTCTACATCCTTGGCCTCCTCTCCCCCATTCACAAGGGAAGATTGCCTAGTGGTGGTGCTGCCATTGCTCAGCTCCAAAGGCAGCTCCACATGCTCCAAACCAGAACTCTTCACCTCCCAATACCGCACGCCTATCTGCGCCTCATTCTCCGCCTTCCAATCCTTATACATCAGGTTCTCCATGAACTTGCAGTCCCTGATCACCAAGAACTTCTTGGTGAATGGGTCCCAAAGAAGCCATCCCTTGTTGTTTTGAGCCATGCCCAAGTGCACAGCCCATATCGCCTTGGCACCAAGCTTGTTGTGCCGAAGATGCTCAGGCACGAGTGCCATGCACATGCACCCGAACACCCGGATCATATCCACCATTGGCTTCCTTCCAATCCAGTCCACATAGGGCACCCATTTGTCTGATCCCACATGAGTCAAGGCTCTGTTCTTGCCGCACACGCACTCCGCACCGCATCAGGCCAGAAATAGTCGGGTAGCCTGGCTTCAATGAGCAACCCGCATGCCGTCTCCGTGATTGTGCGGTTCGCTCGCTCGGCGATACCATTCATTGCAGAGGAGTATGGCATGGTAAGGGAGTGCCTTATCCCATTCTTCTTCAGCCACAATCCGAACTCCTTGCTCAGGAACTCTCCCCCACGATCGGTGCGGATCGACTTCTCAAGCCGGTCTTGTTGCCGCTCCACCATCGGCAACCAATCGGTCTTCACCGTTTCAGCTACGTCGCTCTTTTTGGACCGCACGTACATCCAGGTCATGCAGGTGTAGACATCCACAATGGTGAGGAAATACTCAGCTCCAGCAGCTCCAAGCTTTAGGGGGCCCACCACGTCCATCACCACCTCATCAAGTGGTGCCTTTGCCATTGCTCCGAACTAGGGAACGGAAACCGGGTGAACTTGGCTTGAATGCACGTCGGGCAGCCAAGCACCTCATCGGGCTCCCCCTTCACACGTATGCCAGCAACCATCTCATTCTTCACTAGCTGCTGCAAAATAGGCAGGGCGTAATGCCTCATTCGCCGATGCAAGGTGAGCCAATCACACTCCCCCGTAGCCGAAGTCGGGTTGGAGAATGCCGCGCTGGCAATAGCGCCCCACATGCTCTCTCCGTACTCCTCCTCCGCTGCTGCCTCGGGGTTCTCCTCACCCTTGTGCTGCTCCTTGGCTGCTGCACCACTCTCCTCGTGTTCACCGAGCTTGCTGGTCCCTCCAGGATTGCACTTCTTGGACACGATTTCCTTAGCGCGACCGTTCGCGCCACCGCCGCTACCAACCACTTCACCCTTGGTGCTGACGCTTGCTGACACTTGCCTCTCCTTTGGCATAGGGACCACAGGGATCTGCCACATCTCATTTTAGACATCCCTATCCTCGTGAAGGTCCCATAGAATCCGGTCGCCAATCCTTGTGGTGTAGGTCTTAGCTCCCTTCGAGTACGTGTCCATGCCGGCCTTTGCCAACCGCCGCACGGAAATCAGGTTCGCGGCAAGGCTGGGCACCCAATGCACGTTCTTGAGGCCCACCATCCTCCCATCAGCACCCTTGAACATGGCCTTGCCCATGCCTTTCACCTCTGCTCGCTGCCCCAAAGCCGATGTGACATGCTTCACCGGTGAAGGTTCGAGTTCGGTGAGCAAGTCCGCGCGAGGTGTCATGCTATAGGTAGCGCCGCTATCGATCACCCAGAAGTCCAGAGAGTGTAGAGTGACCTTTCCCACAGCTGCTGGCTCCTCAAAGCCTTCATCATTCTCTGGTGCAGCCGGTGCTTGCGTTGACAAAAAGTATAATTGACCCGGGTACCGATCGCCGCTCGAGTCCTCGTCGTTATCTCCACTCTTCATGTTTGCAGCACCACCTCCGCGACCGCCATGGCCTCCACGGCCTCTACCTCTCCCTCTTTCTGCTGCTCTACCCTCTTGGCCTTGAGCAGGGGCCCATCTATCAGGGATTTTGTAGCAATCGCGCCACATATGTTCGCTCTTGTGGCAATAGTGACACTCGCTTTCGAATCGGCCGCGACCGCGTTCGTAACTCTTGTCGTCGCTGCCGTAACCGCCACATCCGCGGCCTCCACAGAAGTTGCTGCCACCAAACATTCCTCCCCCTCATCCTTTGCCTCTTCCTTGGCCATATCCACGGCTGATGCTTGCTGCCCTAGCGCCATCCGCACTCGCCAACTCACGGCGGCGGAAGTCATCTTGAAGGATCGTGCGCTTCACGTCTTCAAGCGAGAGACGGGGTAGATCACGGTTCAAGTTGATGATGAGCGAGGACCACGATTCTGGGAGTAGGGCCAGCAATTTGGTCTTCTTCTCGAGCTCACTGTAGTTCAAATCTGCTCCTTCAAGTCGCGTCAACAAGTTGAAGAATTTCTGCACCCCTTCTTCAACCGCTTCGTCCTCTTCAATTTGTAGTGTCGCCATTTGTCTTTCCAAAACCACAGCTACCGCCGCTGTTGCAGGGGCGTGTACACCCTTGAGAGCAGCCCTTGCTTTTAGTCCCTTCTCTGGTTTACGCTGGAAAGGCTTGATGTGACGGATTTAACTGCTCCCCCAACGCTTGCCCTAGTAGGAGGTAGCCTTGTGCGCTCTTCCGCACCCACGTGCTCTTCTCCGAGTCGTTCTCAGGACGTTTCTCCGTTCCTTTGATCACCTCCAGTAGGTCATAGTGGTCGAACATGTTCTCCATTCTGAAGGACCACTCAGCAAAGTTGTCACCGTTGAACTTGTCAAGCCCGAACACTCTTGGTTCATCCCTAGAAGTTCCAAGAGTAGGTTGCACGGGCGCCACGGCTGAATCACGGGCTTGGCCTGGGCTTCTCCACTGCCACCAGCACCTCTGCTACCCCTTCCTTCAGGTCCAGCCATCATCGAAGCTGCTCCAAGGCGCTCTGATACCACTTGTTATAGTCAAAACAGAAGATAGAGTGCACAGTTGGATTTATGCACAGCGGCTTCAGACGTTTATAGCGTTCTGGTCACGAATTCAAATGACCTGATTCAAATTGGATCTGGAGCGTCTTAGTGTCGCCTACGTCACAGCGTCGGTTTGAACGAACGGCACTATGGCAGACACTATAGTCTTAGAACACAAATTAGGAAGAGTTAGGAGTTGGGAGTGACTCCCAGCTCCTACAAACCCCAAAGCCGAGGTACAGTGATGTCGAGCAGTGCCACACTGTCCCCAACCACAAAGGGTCTCGAAATTACCCTTCATAAGGGCCTACACCAAGTGAAATGTTACACTGCACAAAGTAATGTAACTATTCTCATTATCTTGAGGTGTACCCTTTTCGCGGGCTTTGCGATCACTTGAATCAAGAAACCAAGGCTCTGGTTCTTCATCAAAAACTCATCCTTGGGTTCTTGATGGGTCTGCTGCACACACCTGCGACACGCCAAACGTTCCACACATGACAAAATAGAAACCGCGCGACACACACAAACGACGAAATAGAAACGTGACTAGCGATGACTCGCTATTGACTTGAGACACACATTCGACAACATGACTCAACATTCATACACTATTATAAGCATGAAATATAATATTATCCCATGCCCTCATACCATTCCACGCACACGGACAACAAGCCGAATGCAAACCGTAGGGTTGCACCAACAGTATCGCCGCCGTGAAGAAGCGCCTGCTCCGCCAAATCGACGTCTCAAACACGTTCTTGTACGCAATCCTCGATGCTATCATCTTTGCTGAGCAGCCGCACGCCTTCAAGGAAGGTGACTTTGCCGACTTCCTCTGACAGAAATCGCTGTACGGCATCAAGCAGGCATCGAGCTCAGTTTCAGGCAGTTGTTGCACGGCCAGGGCATGTACCGGCTTGAATACTGCGGAAAATTCTTCATGGTCGTCACCTACGTGGATGACCTCCTCTACACCGGGAACGGCCCGGAGCTGCTCGATCGCTTCGACGTGGCATCGAGGAGAAGCTGAAGGTGACGGTAAATCACAATGTCACTCAATTCCTGGGACTCGACGTCACCAAAACTGCCGACACTATTCACCTTTCAGTAGCTAAGTACGTCGAAACACTCGTGAAGAAACTCAGCATTGCCTCCGTGACCCTCACCATGCCATGCCGATCGCTTCGCCAGGTTCACCGCAGATCAAGGTTTCTACCAGCAACGGCTAGGCTGCCTCCTCTTTGCCGCCATCACGTGCCGACCATACTTATCGTACGCCGCCAGCCAGCTCACCCAGTATATACGCTGACATGAAGGGGAGCATATGGCTGACCTAAGACACGCGCTATAGTACTTCATCTCAATACCTGACGTTGGCCTGACCTACAAACCTAACTTAATGGCTAATTCATAGCTTACCGTCTACGTGGATGCAGATCACACATGAGATGTTGAAAATGTCAACAGGATTTGTGGTTGGCCCCGTCCTCGCTTGGGCGGAGCCGACTTCGCAGTTCGGTGTATGGGGAGTCCAACCGATCAGCTGCAGTGGGCGACGCCGAGTTCGGCACGCAGGTCGACGGGTTTGGTCGACCTGCACGATGCCACTGCCACGCCGCCGACGACGGGGAGTCGGCGTCCGACCTGACCCGGTGGTTGTCGAGGGGGGGCGCCGATGTTGACCTGAATAGGGGAGCTGGAGGGCGCCGAGTAGGGGGGCGCCGAGTCAGTATGGTCAACCTGGGAGGACGCGGGGCGCCGACCAGCTGGCGACGACTTTGGGGACGCCGCCCTTGTGTAGCCGACGACCGAGCAAGCTGGTCGACCGAGTTACCCGGGCGACGTGTGCGATGGTCGCCGGGGTGGTGTCTGCGATGTCGACCTCGGAAGTGGTATCTCGAGGTCGACGTGGCTGGTGGGCGCTGTCGCTGGCGTGTTCTCAGCCTGGCGTGCACGTGACGAGGCATGGCGCACCAACCAGCTGCGCGCACCTACGAAGCACGTGCACCACTATCATACGGGTGCAGCCGCCTTGCTGCAGCGTTGGCACACCATGGACTTGCAACGTTGGCAAGCTGCTTCTCTGCTGCGCTGGAACGGTGCGAGCTTTGCAACGCTGGAGGTCGACCAGCATGCTTGCTAGCTCTCATGTAGTCTTCCTTGCCAATGTTGTTTCAACCATTGTTGTCAACTTTTGCTAGTGAAACTTTTCCAAAATCTCCTCGTGAATATACAAGTAGAGAACACACAAGCAAACGACTTAGGAACGCAGAAACCACCCCTAACACCCCGTTCCTTCCCCGTAGAATCTCCCGTTCTGTTAGTTTTGTCGTACAGGAGGTACGGGTTCTATTTTCAAACTTGAGCCTGCGGAACCCATATCCCGGAACTCTAAGATGCTGAAACTCATCGCCCTCTCATCAGATACAGCTAATTTTATCGCCTCAAGGGCAGCTGTTCACGAAGAACTTTATCTAACGAAGCTCCTACAGAAAACGAAAACCGCGATCAACAGTTCATTTAAGTTGATATGTGACAACCAGATCGCGATCAAGTCCACGAACAAACCCGGCTTTGTGAACCACTCGAAACACATCGTCATTCGTTATTCTTCGTGAAGGACGAAACTGACAAGGGCATAGTCCAGCTCACCTACTGCCCAAGTGGAGAATTGGCTGCTGACTTTCTGACAAAGAAATTGTCACATCAGAAATTTCTGTATTGCACGTATTTGTGCGGTCAGCCAACATCCACGATTCCGAGGCTTCTTCGCGTCGCTTTGTTTTGCCTTCGCCAAACGTGCACCCAACTTCGCCTTCGCGAGATTCCCACCTAGCTAATGCATTCACGATATTGTCACATGCTTTCATCGTATAATGAGTTCATTCGGTCACAGCTTCGTTATTCGTTCTCTGCACTGTCAGAATGAGAGAAGTGTTTGCACTAGGAAAATGGTTGGGTACAAGTAGGAAACCCAAAACGTATTGTACCCCATAGTAACTACCCCACTACAGCCTAAACAAACTGTAGTAGATATAACATTTGACACACCCCCATAGGCTAAGTGGGGGAGAGCAAGGGGTCACAAGACCAGTCAAGAAAGGCAAAGCAAGCTCAGGGTGGATCACAAAGTCACCACACTCACTGAGCACAAGCAAAGGGCCAAAAGGCCAGTTCACATGCAGAGGCATATTTGTAACACAAACATCGCTGTGATCTCCACCTAGCAAAGCAAGCATGCAGGTATATATATATAGATCACAGTACAAGTAAAGCCTACAGCAAGTGAAGAAAAGTGGGCACAAGCCCTAGCACAGTGCAGAAACGCTGATGATCACCAGACTGAAGTGCCTTGGTGAATATATCAGCATTGTTGGCCCGAGTGGCCACGTAACGCAGACGAAGCTGACCACGCTGCTGCAACTCTCGAGCTAGGGTGTAACGCAGAGCGATGTGCTTCGTTATGTGCTCCAGTCTGTGCTCCTCACACAAGGTAATGGCAGCCTTGTTATCGACGTACAGCACTGGAGGAGAACAAGGCCGCTCTCCCAAGTCGGTCAGCAGGTAGGTGAGCCAGCGTAGCTCCTGTGCAGCCATGGCTGTGGCGTAGATCTCAGCCTCACAACTGGAGCTGAAAACTGAAGACGAGCGTGTAGAACGCCAAGAAACTGAACCAGAGCCAAGACTGAAGGTGTAACCCTGTGACGACCGCTGAGTAGACTGGTCGTCAACCCAAGAAGCGTCTGAGTGCCCAGTGAGGACAATTGAGCTCCTCCCTCCAAGCACGAGCCCCATGCCTGATGTACTGCACAAGTAGCGGAGTACCCTCTTAGCAGCATCCCAGTGCACCTTTCGGTGTCGACCAGGAGCCACTTAGCGAGCCAGAAGGCCAAGAGGGTACGCGAGGTCAGGACGAGTGCAAGTCATCAGGTACATAAGGCAGCCAACTAGCTCTGGGTAAGGACCACTCGGCTCTACGGACTCGTCCGAAGGTGGAGCTGAGAGCGAGTGACCTGTAGCCAGAGGAGTGGCCTATGCCAAGGACCAGG